AGGGGGTGGGGTTCTGGAGCGCAGTTAGGAGCAGGGGTCCCAGGAGGGGGCAGTCAGGGGACAGAGAGCAGAGGGGTTTAGATGGGTCGGGAGTTCGGGGAGGGGGGCTGTCAGGGGGGAGTGGTTGGATGGGGCGTGGGAGTCTCTGGTGTCTGTCTGGGGGTGGGGGTGTGGATAAGGGTTGAGGCAGTCAGGGGACAGGTAGGAGGTAGGGTTCTAGGGGGCCAGTTAGTATGGGGGGAGGGTCTCAGGAGGGGGCAGTCAGGGGACAGGTAGGAGATAGGTTCCTAGGGGGCCAGTTAGGATGGGGGGAAGGTCTCAGGAGGGGGCAGTCAGGGGACAAGGAGCAGGGAGGCTTAGGTAGGGGGTGGAATCCTGGGGGGCAGTTAGGGGCAGGGGTCCCAGGAGGGGGCAGTCAGGGGACAAGGAGTGGGGGGGAGGGTTGGAGGTTCTGAGGGGGTGGGAAGTGAGAGGGAGTGGAAGGGACGGGGCGGGGCTAGGGCGTGGCTCCTCCCGTCCTCTTTTTTGATTGTTGAAATAGAGATCCTATCACAAACCATCTCCTTCCTAATCTTTCAGTCCTGTTTCCTCACCTCCCTGAGAAGTAGGTAGAACTAAGGCGTCTAGATGAAAATAAACTCACTTTAATGTGATGAATATCACTATCGGATTTGATCCCCTCCCATTGGATCTGTGTTGTCTTTCCTCTTCATAGATACAGGACTTCCTTTAAAAACACTTACTTTCCCCGTGTTATCTGCAATTCTCCAGCTGCTCTTCAGGACATTTTACAATTTGGTTTTGCCCTTCTCTGTGTTTGCCACCCCTCCTGGTGTTCATGTGATCCGTAAACAAATGACAAAAGATTTGCAAAAAGCGGAGTGTGAAGAATCACTTAGGATTTTCAGTGGTGCTTTTAACCAACTAAACTTCAATCTCTCTCCCCTTTCAAAATGCTGAGCGTCCTGGTTAGGATCCAAGCTAACTGTTTAAACAGGGGAGTGCTCCCTCACTGGGGCAGAAACATCCA